CGCCTGTTCTTTTTCTTTTGTCTGGTTTTCATTGGAGGTCAATTGATAGCTTTACTCCCATGGCTTTCCCCTGGAATAAACATTTAAGATGTCAATATGTCGATCCGTCAGGATTACCAGACAAAGCGTACTACCAAAGCAAGGGACTATAAAATCATGAGAATACAAACTGTATAATATATCCTCTTGGCCAATATCATTAATAAAATGCAAGGAAAAATAACTGGGAAATATCCCTTTATTCAAAAAACTGTTACAACAGACCGATCAGAAGGAAAAACCAACGCATTTCTTGCATTTAACAGACCCGAGCGATCTTTCACCATCACGGATTACATAACTTCATGGCCATAACATCGCGTAACATTGTATTAAGAATTCTGAAAGTTTAATAATTTAAAGACAATTCTTCGATTGAAAAATACCTTAAGACCATATGGAAAGAAAAAAATTACCAGTCCAAATAATAGCTAAAATGTCGCAAAGCCTCACATGAGGTCAGCAAGCTCTGTATACATTTTCCGGCCGTAGTAGTCCTTGCGCTTTCGAGAATTGCATTTTTCGTTGCTCCAGCGCCAATTCCTTCGCTTTTCGTCTTAATTTTCAATTGTTCGTGGGATATGTAGTTTTCGTTTAAGCTCCAAAAGGTCTACTTTAAAGGGGATGGAACAGAATTTATGACACAATGCCACATGATTTTAATGGCCATAAAGTTAGGTAATCAATGACGGTGAGGATCTCGCCCAGGTCTCGTAAATGCAAGAAATGCGTTGGATTATTGATTTTCTAAGTAACCGGTTCCAAAGAATCAAACTGGCTGAGGGATGCCTCTCTGAGTGGGGCTCAGTCCCCTCAGGAGTCCCTCAGGGGACGAAATTAGGGCCTTGGTTGTTTGTGGTTATGATAAACGGCCTTGTAGTCGATGGCACGCGTGTCTGGAAATACGTAGACGACACTACTGCATCTGAAGTTCTCGGAAAGGGCGGGGTTAGTGGTGCCCAAATTATTGCTGATAAAGTAGTCGAGTGGTCTCTGGCTAGCAGGGTCGAGCTCAATAATGAGAAATGCAAAGAGCTTCGAATCTCTTTTTCCCGACATAGGGCAATATTTGAGCCAAATAGGGTACATGGCAAAGAGTATACATGGCTCTCTGATAGTGCAAAGTTACTGAGAATAACAATCACAAGTGATCTGTCATGGAACACCCATGCAAATGATGTTATCAAAAAGGCAGCCAAAAAGCTATACTTTTTAGTGCAGCTAAAAAGGGCCAAGGTTCCCTGCAATGACTTGAGGTTATTTTACATCACGTGTGTAAGATCAGTTTTAGATTATGCGATCCCTGTGTATTATTATTCACTCCCAAAGTATTTAAGTAATTAGCTAGAGAGAGTCCAGAAGAGGGCTTTAAAAGTCATGTGCCCTGGCCTCAGTTACGATGAAGCTCTTAGTCACATGGAGATAGTGCCGCTTAGCGTCCATCACAGTGATATTTGTGCCGCACTTTTCAAAGACATCCTAAGTGACTCAGATGATAGGTTACGAGCATTATTGCCGCCTTCACATCAGGCTTGCAAATA